AGTTTAGGAAGTGCCCTTTGACCAGAGAACCTGACCTTTGGTCTGCTTTCACGTTTCCTGAGTTCTGGCGAGATACCCCTTTCACGCTGCTTTACTTTTACAAGGGCTGAATCGGGTAAAGGCCCTTTTACCGATCTCCCTCCTTGTCGAGTCCAACTCAGCAATGTAGACAGTGTGGCAAATGCCACGTCAGCTCTGAAGGCAGAGTGGCATGCGCCACATCAGCAATGTCGAAGACAGCTTGCCCTTGCGCCACGTCAGTAGAGGCTGGCGCCGAAGCGGAAGGCGCCAGCATGCAAACAGCAGTCTCGCGTCGTCCACAGTCCCAGCGTACAGCCAGCATCCAGCCAGCGCCCAGCCAGCGTCCAGCCAAAGTCCAGCCAGCGTCAAGCCAGCGTCAAGTCAGCATAGCAAGACTGAATGTTGACTCCCTGGAGGCTGGGCCTTATGTAGTGTTTGACGAGGCTGACCGGCCTCAGGTCTCCCACCCACGGTGGCTCAGATTGACTCACAGCCGAGGGCCTAGATTGCATACAGTTGCAGACTTCCATTGGGTCCAAATGCTATCTTGGTACCTGCATACAAACACGTGTGTGTGTCTGACTGGCAGCCTGGGCTGGGTAGATGCAGACTTTGACTCTGGGGCTGCTGGGCAGTTGACCGAAGTCAACTGTCGGGCGCACAGGTCTTGGGCCAATTTGGGTGTTTTCCACCCGTTGGCCTTTGCGGCCTCAGACCGGGGTCGTGGCCTGCGTGTGGCCTTAGGGCCACTTCAGGGCATATCGAGCGGGGTATTGCATTAGGGACTGTGCAATTTGGTGGTGGGGGGGTAAAGGGGGGGAGGGGGTTGGGGGAGAGAAGGAAGGCAGGGTTCTCAGTTCTTAAGAGAACTTAGGAAGGTAGAGAATGGGGGCCCAGACTTGCACTTCCTCCCATGGCGGGGGCCAAATTTCCCCGCCAGGAGGCTGCGTGGCGGATATTCATTCGAAGAATCGAAGCCCGAAAGGAAGCCAGACCCAAAAAAAAAAGGAAGCCAGGCAATGTGATTTTTTTTTTCTGTTTCTTTTTTTATATATACATTGGCTAGGGGTTGTGCTATTGGGAGTGATATTAGCATTCCCCAATATGATGCTCCCCTCAAATGGCTCCAATCTAAAGGTGGGGAGCATCACCTGCTGGAAACTGGGTCCAGCATCCACCATTGGCCAAAAATGAATTTGCCGACCGCATTCCCAGGCTCAGGGCATACTCACACCAGGACTTTTTTTTATTGTTTCTGCAAGGAAAATAAGCAACAGCGAGATGACAATTCCAGTTCACACCATCACATTGAAAGCCAAATAGTCACACTGTATCCAGAGAGCAGCATTGCACCAATAATACACCAATGGAAGTTCGTAGCACTGAAAACCAATGTTCATGGAGAGCAAACTCTCTCCCTTCAACACAAGAGTCCAGTTCCTTCACACTCACACTTGGCACTCAGCCCCAGCCTGCTCCTACACAGCTACTACAGACTACAAAGAGACAATGCAACTGTTGACATCAGTGGCAGCCCGAAGTACTTGAAGATGTTGCCCATGCAGACTATCGCCAATACAAGGTATGTGCCCTCACATCATCATCATCATTATCATCCTTCACTCATCCCCTGACTACACCACACCTGTCCTCTCTTTGACCCGAAGACCACCCCTGCGCTTCACTGTAGTCCAAGCCCACCAGCTNCTGTCCTCTCTTTGACCCGAAGACCACCCCTGCGCTTCACTGTAGTCCAAGCCCACCAGCTATGGTGGCTGGGCTATGGCGCTGCCCTCAGCAGCCCCCTCCTCCTCTGCAAGACCGCACCTGCTGCACCTCGCCTCTCAGCGCTAGCAGCAGCCTACGAGCATGAGCTCCAGCAGCGCTGCCGCCCAGCATGTGAGTGCCTGAATGAGGCTGCCTGGCCAGAGCTCTTTCCTTTATGGAAAAGAGTTGGCCAGCTCTCGCAGCCTGGCTGGGCTGGTTTGGGCCCAGAAGCTTCCGGAAGGCCCTAGGAGGTTGCCTGGATGCAGCAGCTACTGGGCTACTGGGCCTCGTCCGGTTGGGCGCCCAACTGTCTCTGTATGAGGCTGCGAATCACGCACAGGGCCTGCATTCTTTGGAAAGGCCCGGTATGTCGTGGAAATGTCTTCGGTGCTCGGCCTGTGTTTCTTTCAACCAACTGGCACGTCGCAACTGCCTGGAACCCAAATATGAAATTGACAATCGAGGGCCTCTTGCAAAAAGCCAGGCCCGCCTTCACTTAGGGCGAGCACCTCCGCCTTCACCTAGGGCGGGTAAGGCTGCAAACAGGGCCCCTTAGGCCTACCGAGGACGCTGATCCTCGCATTCCCTCCTCCTTTACTTCGTGAGTCCTCTGAGAAGTTTCTCATTCTGCAGGCATCTTCCCCTTGAGTGCTCTTTCATAGCCTGCGATGACTTGAGGTGCTGTTCTCATGAGTTCTTCTCATGTGAACCACCTATCTTCTTTAGGATCCAGATGATGTCTGAAGCTCACACGATATTGCATTCTCGGATTAGGAGGTCACCCTCTGCCTGATGGTCAAAGGACATGCATCACTTGATGCTCGATGATCTGGTCAATGTCCACTTCGCCATCCATGGTTGGGGGCAGCATTTATCTTCTGGAAGGAAACTGCTCAATTGCAGCGAAAGGTGCTAGCTTGGAGGCATGAAACACTGGGTAGGTGCGTAGGTGTGCAGGAATACGGATCACGTATGAAGGCCCATCCGGTTGATCCCCTACAACGTCCAAGATCTCCCATGGCCCGAAATACTATGGCATCAGTTTTCTGGATATCCCCAACTCCTGACCTAATTCAGATGACTTTACCCAGACGCGTTCACCTACCTGAAAGTTAGAGGGCCGTCTATGCTTATTCTCAGATGCAATCATAGCATCTTAAGACTTCCTAATATGTTCAACGGCCTGCTGCACCATCTGTTCATATTTGACAGCAAACTCTATGCTGCCAGGTGCTGCAGTGGAGTGTCTTTTTGGTAGCGGAAAGTCCAATGCACTGCTGGGCTTCCAACCAAGATGTAACTGGTTGGGAGTCATACGGGTTGTACTGTGCACAACATTGTTGTACAAGCTGGTGACGAGAGGTAACTTCTCGTCCCAGTCATCCTGACTTGGCTTAATGTAATGCCGAAGCAGGTGCTGTACTACCCGGTTCATCTGTTCTGCTTGGCCATTTGACTCAGGGTGATTCCCTGAAGTCATTTGGAGTTTGGTGCCCATCTGTTCAGCAGTTGACTGCCACAGTTCACTTGTGAATCTCACATCCCTATCGCTAACGATGGATGTAGGCAAACCAAAATCCCGTACCCAATTATCCATAAACAGTTTGATGACGTAGTCGGTTTTAGTTTTTTCTGGAATGGCAATCAGTCTTGCGTACTTAGTAAAACGGTCCACTATTACAAAGATATGCCTCTTTCCAGACTTGCTGGTCACAAGGGTGTCCATGAAATCCATAGACACACTCTGACCTGGTCCTTCAGGAATCGGCAAGGGCTTGATCAGCCCAAGCGGAGCCTGAGTCCTTGGTTTGTCTCTTTGACAAACTTGGCAAGTCTCAACATAGCGTTTTGCATCTATCATCATAGAAGGTCACCAGAATCTTTGTACTAAGTTCGCTGATATCTTTTTGTAACCAAAAAGACCTAGCACTATTTTCAAGTGCTTAGCGTGCTCCTCTACAGTCCTACTAAAGATAAGAATATCGTCGAGGTACACGACGATAAACTTGTCCAAGTACTTGTGAAATATCCGGCTCATCGTGTGCTGGAACGTACCAGGCGCATTGCATAGGCCAAAAGGCATCACCACAAACTCGTACAGACAGTACCTGGTCTGAAATGCGGTTTTGTGCTTGTCCTCAGGCCTAACAACAATTTGATGATATCCGGACTTCAGATCTATCTTTGTGAAGTATCGGCATCCCTGCACTCTATCCAAGAGGTCGTCAATGCGTGGTAGGGGCTCCGCGTTCTTAACGGTGATGGCATTGAGGCCCCTATAGTCAATGCACATCCTTAATGGACCTCCCTTCTTTGGGACAAATAACACTGGCGCACCGTACGGGGAGGTACTAGGCCGTATCCATCCCTTCTCTGTGAGCTCCTTGAGCTGGCGGCGAAGCTCATCTAACTCCGCGGGAGACATCTTATAGATTCGTCCTCTCGGCACCTTACTACCTGAGACAACCTCTATCGCATGGACAACCTCCCTTTCTACCACGCCTGTGGGCTCCTAAAAAAGGTCTTAATATTGAGCGACGACTTTTTCTATCTCAAGGGGTGTTTTAACGGCCTCCCCTTTCTCAGAGACAAAAACTAGATACATGCCTTCCTCGCGATTCTGCTTATAATAGTTATAGAAGGATGATGCACACATGCACCCGTAGTTTTCTATTTGACTGCTAGCTTTGAACTTTTGTAATCTAACAGATCTACCGTTGGGCAACTTGTGAATCAATACCCTTTTATCCTAGTCAAACTGCGGTTGCGCGACCTCGAGGTAGTAAATACCTAGGAGCATGTCAAATGGCAGTTCATCGCTAACCAGGAAAGAAATTTTATGACTCACTTCCCCTCCTCCATAGGAGAAGGTGCAGACTACGTCCTTGATATAGTCTTTCACCAACATTTGGTGCTTGTTGGCTAGCGTAGAAGCTACAGTTCTGCTAAGCCGCTGCACAAGGTCCCCTAAGCGCATTCTATCCACACAAGCACGACTGATGAAATTTCGTGTAGAGCCTATGTCTACGAAGGCGCCAACCTTGCGGCCACCTACATCTACTTCTACCACGAAATGTTCACCCTTTGGACCTCTACTGATTATCGCCCAAGAGTCCCTGGGGTCCTTCCCTGACCACTCAGTCTCTAACTCTTTTAGGGCCTCAGACACATCTCTCGAACAGAGCGTCGATGGGTCTGAATGTGTCTGCGGGGCGATACGTGGGTCACTAGCCTTGGCCAACGCCTGAAGTGGGGAAGGCAACGTTACCACTTCAGCGCGAGTAAGAGCGGCTAACACTCCTACTGGCCCAAGGTGTTTCCCTATGAGCTGCTCGCAGAAGCACTCCCAGGGTTCGAGGATAAGCCCACCACCGTTGGTGAGGCTAACTGCGTTGTGACCTTCTTGCCGTGGCAAATCCTGGACGTGTGGCCATAGTTGCCACAGTTCATGCATGTACCCCTAGCAACGTGGTCACGCCACACCTCGTAATCCAAACCAAGCTTTACCCATGCGGGTGTCCCTTGGTCTCCCTGACCCGTGGACCGTCCTACCTTCTTCTTCCCGGTCCCCCTAGCCTTTTCTTTGATGGGCGCCACGACTCCCCCATCCGAAGTCTCGTTGGCGCCATCCTGCTCTGTCAACTCCCCAAGGTCTGGGAAATCGTCAATCTCCGTCGTTTGACCATCATGGTCCACGAACATTAACTGACCCTTCTTCTTGCAATCTTGGGGCAGTCTCTTCCTACCATCGTGGGATACCTTATGCGCAGATCCCAGCTTGGCCTCTATGTCCAGAGCTTTCTTACTAAAAGAAGCGAAGGTGTGATGTTCGACATAGGCCTCGTCAACCAGCTTGGTCCTTACCTCTGCCAGTAGGCACCTTAGGTAATCCGTCAGGAGAACCTGCTGGTCAAAACGCACACCAGGTACCACGAGAAGGCATTTTACGGTGTCTGTAAGCTCTCTAACATCCTTGAACCTGCGGGAACAAAGGTTGTTGATAGCATCGGTGGCCTTTTGAGCCCCTTGCGGGGCATGCCACCTGTCGTAGACAGACCGTACGAACTGTTCCAATGTCTGAGCCTGAGCCCAGGCATCGAAATCCTGACTGTAGCCCTGCTGCTGCACTAGACCATTCAACCAGCGTGCTGCTGGCCCTTCTAGAAAAGAGGCAGCCACAACAACTTCTTGCTCTGGCCTTGTGAGCTTGTACCTCACATAAGTAGGCACAGTCCTCACCCAAGTGTCCAAGTCCTCCTCCTTCTTTCTATCTCCAGAGAAAGGCTTGGGACTCATTAGAAGTATCTTGGGCATCCACTGCATAGACTGCATGGGCCCAGGGGCTTGTTGCAGCGGTTGCATTGCCACTGAAACAGGCTGCTGCACACTAACCTGGGCCTGGCTTGACAGTGGGACTGTAGTTACCACTTTCGTGGATGGTACGGCTGAGACTCTTTGAACCGGAACACTAGTTGTTGCAAAACCACCTGGAGGGGGCATGCTAAACATAGGAGAGAAAGTTTGTCTTGTGTGTGGCGGCATCGCTGATGGACCCGCACCCGCAGGGGGAACTACCGCAAACTGTGGCTGCCTCACCGCTGTGCGAGGAGCCCGAAGTTCAGCCAAAATTTGTTTCTGGCCTGCCACCAAATCAGCCAACAATTCCTGTTGGACGTTCTGCGCTTCTACCACTGAAAGTAAGGCATTGCGCAGCACACGACCAACAGGGTCTAATGCTGCCTCATCTAGTGTTTCCAATCTGCCTAGCTTCTGCATTCTACTCTCTAGTCTAGCCTTCCTAATTATGGCTTTTCTTTTCCTCTCCGCTGCCTTGTCCAACTGCCGATGTAGCTCATCTTGAAGTTCTTCTGCTTGGCGGATTTCTAAGTCCTCTGTCGTGAGTTGAGTTTGCTGGCTGACTCGCACGGCTGTCTGTCAGTTGTTAGCGAAGTCTGTCACAACTAGATAATCAAAATAAAAATAACATCTCCTGTTCGAGATGTATACTAGATGGCAGATTGATAGTTGCTTGCCACTGTGAATAGTTACCAGAATCCCCCCTCCCCCTGTATCCCTCTTGATTGGTCACTTTGTGTCAACGTTCCTGAGCATTTGGTTGAGCAGCATGTCTGAAGGTGTGCAATCCGGCCCACCCCTGTGCCCCAAGTCATTGCCGAACATGCCAGCCAGTCCACTCTTATTTACCCTCGTACGGAACGAGCCTTACACCCGGTTGATCTGGCTGATCAGGAGGAATTTTAGGAGAGCCCCCATCTCCTCAGGAATTATTTAACGTCGCAGTCAGGACGACGATCACAGCCAGATTCAATCAGAGCCCCCAACCCGAAATATTTATAGACGGTCTGGTAAGCGTCTCATAAAAGGCTGGCATGCCTGGCAGGACCTCTATTGCGCAAGCAGCAGAACCAAGGACTTGCAGCCCAAGCATGCGTGTACTAGTCCCACCGGGTTGGCATGGTGACCGTGACCCGAGTGCTTCGTCCAGGGCCCTTCAGAGGCTTCACCCGTCTCCCACCAGCTTGCTGCCCAGGAAGAATGTCGGCTCTCAAGGTTGAGCGCTCGCGACACCTCACACTGAGAGGACTCTCAAGACAGAACTCACTTCCTCACGGTAAGAAGAGATGAAGGGGGTAGATAAGGAAGAGAGCAACGTACCTCATAAATGCTGCCCCCAACCACAGATTTCTCACCGGTAACCTGATGTGCAATTATGATGACCGGTCCTTGGCTCAGCACAACCAATAGCAGAATGCGGTTCCACCTTGGCTTAATATGCCACATCAGCGAGTTCTCATCATCCAGCATACACCCCGTATGTTACCACATAGCTCCCTGGCGCGCCCACACTACCCTGGGCCGCCTAACGTTCAACGCCAATGCCTTATCATTGCCCCACACTTCATGTGAAGCACCAATAGCTATTGCGAAGAACCAATGAAGCGCAATATGAACCAGCTCCGATACCAAATTGCAAGGGAAATAAGCAACAGCGAGATGACAATTCCAGTTCACACCATCACATTGAAAGCCAAATAGTCACACTGTGTCCAGAGAGCAGCATTGCACCAATGATACACCAATGCAAGTTCGTAGCACTGAAAACCAATGTTCATGGAGAGCAAACTCTCTCCCTTCAACACAAGAGTCCAGTTCCTTCACACTCACACTTGGCGCTCAGCGCCCAGCCTGCTCCTACACAGCTACTACAGACTACAAAGAGACAATGCAACTGTTGACATCAGCGGCAGCCCGAAGTAGTTTAAGATGTCGCCCATGCAGACTATCGCCAATACAAGGTATGTGCCCTCACATCATCATCATCATCATCATCATCCTTCACTCATCCCCTGACTACACCACACCTGTCCTCTCTTTGACCCGAAGACCACCCCTGCGCTTCACTGTAGTCCAAGCCCACCAGCTATGGTGGCTGGGCTATGGCRCTGCCCTCAGCRGCGCCCTCCTCCTCTGCACGACCGCACGTGCTGCACCTCGCCTCTCAGCGCTAGCAGCAGCCTACGAGCATGAGCTCCAGCAGCGCTGCCGCCCAGGATGCGAGTGCCTGAATGAGGCTGCCTGGCCAGAGCTCTTTCCTTTATGGAAAAGAGCTGGCCAGCTCTTGCAGCCTGGCTGGGCTGGTCTGGGCCCAGAAGCTTCCGGAAGGCCCCGGGAGGCAGCCTGGATGCAGCAGCTACTGGGCTGCTGGGCCTCGTTCGGTTGGGTGCCCAACTGTCACTGTATGAGGCTGCGAATCACGCGCAGGGGCTGCATTTTTTGGAAAGGCCCGGAGGCCGTGGAAATGTCTTTGTTGCTCGGCCTGTGTTTCTTTCAACCAACTGGCGTGTCACAACTGCGTGGACCCCAAATATGAAATTGACAGTCGAGGGCCTCTTGCAAAAAGCCAGGCCCGCCTTCACTTAGGGCGGGCACCTCCGCCTTCACTTAGGGCGGGTAAGGCTGCAAACAGGGCCCCTTAGGCCTACCGAGGACCCTGATCCTCGCATTTCTGGTGTCTGGACGCAATTGAGGTGGTTTTTTTTTTTTTTGGCCGAGGGGTGGAGGTAGTTGGTCAATCATGTCTGATGCGGCCATAAATGCGGTGCACCTGCTGGAGATGTTCGGAAAACATCTCCAGCAGTCACAGGAAACTTTTTTGGACTCCGTTTGCGCTGTACCCTGCAGCATTTGTTACAGCAACCTTTTCTCGCGGAGTTGTACCCCCGTCCCAATTGGCCCCCGGTTACCCAGTCCTTAGATCCCAGTTATCTTGCAGAATCACGAATATGTCAACTGGTCTCCTGCGGACGTCAGACCCTCGATTCGGGAAAAGACCCTACATTGGCCGACAGTCCAAGGGCAAGGATGGCAGAGGATCAGTGTTATATTCATAGGGGGAAGTTTGAGGCAAGGGGGTGGGTAAGGGAAGGCTTCCTGCTGATGTTGCGGGGGGGGAAGAGCTGGTACCTGGAAGTGGGAGGCCAGGCGAACAAGAGGGAAGGGGGAAGGCAGCGGTGCGGTGGCAGGATGGGGGCTCTGCTCGGAGTGCGGGGAGGGGTTTGGGGGAATCGATAACGAGGGTAGAGTAGTAGTGTATGGGCCTGAATGCCGGCCTGGTTTGGGAGAGGGTCCGCTTCTGTCTGGTCGGCAAATGAGGACTAAGTCTGTCCGGCGAAAGGGGATTCAGGAATGCTGTGTAGGGAGCTTTTCCCAGGTGCTCTCTATGAAGCACCACTGTCTCCACTGGAAGTTGTGATTTTGGTCCAGGCCACCATTTTTTTTTTTTTTTTGGTCACCTATTTTTCTACCCACCTTTTTTTTTTTGTTTTGAAAAGCCAGTCTTGGCCTACTAGCAGGGGTGGTAAAAGCAGCCCCTCCTACTCCCTGGCCTCGCTGGTTGCCCCATTCTATTGGTAGAGAGCTTTACCTGCTGAAAATGGGGTCCAGCGCCCCATTATTTACAGATGAGAGTTCAAAATGACATCTTTGAGCCCACAGGCAAGAGAAAGGACTATTGGTGGGGAGCTTCACCTGCTGGAAATGGGGTCCAGCGCCCCATTATTTACAGATGAGAGTTCAAAATGCCATCTTTGAGCACACAGGCAAGACAAAGGACACCCCCACCAGCCTTGATTACCCAGGTAACCCAGGTTGGCTGGGGTATTGACTGTGCGGGGTGGTGGGATTGGCAGTCTGCCCCTTCTGCTCCATTACACCGCCCCCGAAGGGCTCTGAGTCCTGGCAGCCTTGTCATCCCGAAAGTAGCAACTTTTTCACCCTCCCCCGTTACACCAAGACATATCCACCAAAGAGAGACTCTGGGGGAAAGGGATCAGGGAGATCCGACTGGGGACACATGGGGACTTCTCCAGCAGTGGTGGTCCATTCATGGAAGATAAGCCTGTAGTCTCGCATGGGGTTTGGCCGGTCGTCCTCCTAACCACTGGCCCACTCCACCTTGGCCAGCAAGCCCCCATGTTCCCCTCCCAATCAGTCTCGACAGAAATGTTCGCAGCCAGGAGGCTGCGCCTTGTGTGGTTTGCATTTCGTCGTTTCGTGTCCTTTCCATTTTGGGTAATGTCGTGCAGTACAGCGTTGCTAGGATGGGTCCGTTTGGGGTTTCCGAAAGCAGAAAAAGGGTCCGGTCGCAGTCGTCCCTAAGACCGGTCATAGGGCAGGTTAGCTTGTCCAGGTCGTTCGAAAATCAGCATAAGGCGCCGTCCACAGTTTCGCTTTTGAGGGGTGGCATTTTTTCCCGTTTCAAAATAGGGGCGGACGATTTGGGCCTGGGCGTTTCTGCTTTTGTTTTTTTTTTCAGTTTGAACTGCATCTCCCGAGAAATATGAGAAGCATTCATCTGTTTACTGCTATGAAGTATTGAAAAACGAGAAGGGAGTGCCCTGCCTTGTTGGCAGGGCTTACTAAAAAAAAAGGCAAAAAAAGAGCTATCGAGATCTAGGGCCTCGCTCCACAACTCACAGAATGTGCAAAATGAGAATGAATAGTCCTGTAGAACATGGGTAGATACACGTCAAGTAGTTCAGAGGTTGAAATGGCATTTTGCCTTTGTTTTTTTTGTTTTTGTTTTTTGGAAGAAGAATGTCTTCTGTTTCTCACTTGACTCCGGGTGAGAGGCGGGGGGAGCAATCTATGGGCATTGTGCAAAATGAGAATCAATTTTCCTCTAGAACATGGAAAGATACACGGCCATGATTTGTGTCCTTTGAGCATGTCGACAGTAGTGGGAGGACGCCCTATTGCGTCGTCAGCCCCCTTCTTTTCAAGGCATTCTCACGAGCCCTGTCCACAATCCCCTTCTTTTCAAGGCATTCTCAGGAAGCCCTGTCCACAATGCATCTGACTGTACCTCTGGCCAGGCATGAGGTGGTAGGACAAGGCCTCAGTAGCT